CCCCCGCCACATCTTTTTTCTGTTTCATCCTCTCACCTCTTCTACTACCTTCTTTCTATTTACCTCCTTTCTACTTTCCTCTTTCTTCTTTAGTTCTTTTCCTTTCACAAAAACCTGAAGTGAACTTTCACACATATTGGTCTGGGGGCTACACTGACGATTCCCGCCCCATACCACACCGCATTCTGTCTGTATTTGTAGCTTAGAGATGAAACACAGACAGCAAAATCTACATCTTCCCTTTCACATATTCACAGCACATGTCCTTACCTTTTGTCACAAAATATCCACCTATATAACTATCTTTTCTTTTCCTCAACCACATCCCTCTTGTGTCCTTCTACCATTGGCCACTACTAGTCGCAACAATTACCGGTTAATCATTAGCTCTATTTTCATCAACTTCCTCCAAAGACCCAATTCTAACTCCTCCCACTCAACGTCCCACATAAACATTCAATTTTTGGTCATTCCTCCATCAACAATTTGACTTAATTACATTTAGTGTGCTTCATTCTATTTTAAGCCTGAACATGGACAGCAGACACTCCCATAAAAGTACTGTTTTTTACTCAGTCTGATCCCTGAGTCGGAGCTCCCAATAATGTTTCTGCTTGAATTTTAACTTGCGCATGCACAAGACATAGGAGTTCCTCGAGGCTGGATTTAATTTTCTAGTGTCATACTTTAACATGAAACATCCATGCTAAACTTCAAATTTCTGGTCTCACTGATTCTCATATTCGTTCCACGCCAACTTTATTTTGGATATGCCAGTATGCGGAACTTAGACGTAAGTGGGAGCTGAGTTTAGACTTCTTGGAGCCAAAAACGGGCAAAAAACGCTCCCTTAAAATTTTAGCTCATTAACTTGTTTGGCTTCTGGAGCCGTTTGGCTGAAAGGCTATTGTAATTTCGTTTTTCGAACATGCGTAAGATTTAGGGGGAGGTTGATTTTACACATTTAGGGCCAGGAAACATCCCTACCTCACATCAATCGTAAACAGCTTTCTTTCTACTTCTTCAAGTATTTAAATTGAAAGTGGGAGATGAAATCCGAGCACACATAGATTAAATATATATATATATGTATACATATATATATATAACCCTTGGATAATACGTGTTTTTGCATTTTACCGGTGTTGCAATGAATGACAAATATAAAGCTGCCAGTTCCAATACTGGCATAAAAGGAGATGATGATAAAGCAGTGGATGATCAAATTATCAATTTAACTGTATTTTTGTCCACATTTTACTCTGTAGTTCACCTCATAAGATGTATAATTATTGCTGACTAATAATAAATGCAGTTAGGCTAGAATTTCACGTCTACCGTTTGAAATTACTCAATCTGAACTTTTAAAATTAATGCGTTCAGCTGAAACTCTACGTTTGCGAAAACATATTGCATAGTTAATTACCTTATCATTTTTAACGCTGATCGGTACAGCAAAACCAACGCTGCCAGCCGCAAAACCTGCTGGACAAGTACCACTGCTGCCCGGCATGATACAGTAGTCGCCAGCCGGCCATGCCAAATTCGTGTCGGCTACTGAAAATTTGTCGTCTCTCACAGTTTATAAAAAAAGTACACCGTAAAATTATGAGATATGAAAGTTAAGCAGGCAAAAGGAGACTAAGAGTATTTCTGAAGCCATGCTCTACAACAACAAATAAACCCAGGCTGGAACGTACCAGGCGGGCCCGTGCGATCATACGTTTTTGCACCGGACTTGAATTACTCAGGTCATTAACTGTA